TGTGGGACTATAGCCCCTGTTCATGGGTCGCCTGCTCAACCAGTTGAGCTACTGGAGCGCCCAATTTATAATTTATTAAGTCTGATACAGCTGCAGGGAGAGTGACTCAGAGCTTTAGTTCATCTGCAGATTACGTCACCTCTGGCTGACCTCTTCTGACTCAACTTTTATTTTATCAAAAATAAAGGAATTCATGTTGTTGATTCTTTTTTTTTTGTAGAAAGACTCATTCAAGATCGATGTTGTGTGTGTGTGTTATGCTAATAAGAATCATCCCAGTCTTCTTCCCATCGCTCTCTCTCTCTCTCACATGCTTACTTTCTGCCTGACAGTCCAAAGCCCAGGAGACCCGATTCATTTCAGACCCTTAGTGAAACAAACATCGGCCCGGTTAATGACCCTCCTCTGAAGTGTTGAGGATTCACACCTTCTTGCATTAACGCCAGCTGACTGCAAACTCTCGTCTCTGTGGTCTCAGCCCAATCAGAGGTGTGAACGAAAACATCTGTGTGAAAAAACACGAGTCAACACATGATGCAACCTTCGCGAGGAGACAAAAAAAACTGAGTGTGATGCAACCTGCAGTGTTTTTTTTACCGAGTTATGAAGTTTGAACTTGTGGCTCTTCTGATAACGGGCAGCAACAGCCAGGTTTCATGACACTCTGATGACCTGTGACTGTTCCTGTAAAGGCCGTGCAAACTAGATGTCCAACATCGTCTGCCTTGTGGCCATAATGACAGAAATACTGCCGTGTATATGAACACCCGTGGACTTGCTGCTGTGTTTTCACCCTGCTTGGCCTGCACAGAGACAGAAACCTAAGCAGGCTACACACCCTTCACCTCAGCTGCCTCCTCCACTGAAAAATAATTCCTTTGTTGTTGGTTCTCATTGCACAAAGGAATGTGGCTGCAGTCAGATTAGGCATCTGTAGCTTCACAGTGTGTAAAAATAGGAACCGGACGCAAACCGCCAGCACAGAAAGACAAATACACAGAACCTGTGAATCATTATTAACCCTTTCAACACTGTAGCCGCTATACCGGGCTGGCATTACGATACCCGTTCAATCCCCTACAGCGACTTTCTGCAACATTCATTTTGATTGTCTGTCAGTGGGAATCCCTGTATGTGAACAAGCGATTCAGTCATGAAATAAATTATGCAAATGAAGTAAAATGACATCGTTTGACCTCAAAAATCTCCAGAAAAGGGGATTTTCACTGCCTCGTTTCCAAAATGTTTATAAGCAATAAAAAATAACTAATTACAAGACTTTGGCTGACGTCTGTACATAAGAACTGATAACTAACTGCATATATCCCTGGTAATTATGAAGTTCACCTTTTCTTTTTCACACCTGTATTTCACCTGTATGGATATGACAAGAGTAAACTTCCAGATATATTTAACCATCAACTTGTCTACTTTTGATTGATACCAGATGTGTAATGATCTACATAAGAATTTATGAGTGATGAATCAAAACCATATCTGATCATGAATTTCAAGCAAAGTTACTGAGTGTTGAAGTGTTTAAGAAATACGCATTTACTATGTGTTGGAAGGGTTAAGACGCGCCAGCTTCTCATTAATCAAATACTAATTTAGAACTAAAAAGGGTCATTCAATAAGTCAAACAGATTTGGGAAAAAAATAAAATCCCACCTGACGTCCACATTACCAGCTTGTTCTGTAGCTACAGTAACTTTATTTAATGAATATTATTATCAATATTCCAGAGTTCCAGGTCCTTGAAGTCCACAGAGGAGGGTCCAGATTTATCACTTTAATGGACTTTTTCCATCATTTGTGAGCCTCAGAACTTCATCAGTACAGCAGATAGACACATGACATTCAGGAGGAAGAACACATCTGAGTTCTGGTGGAAACTGACACCAGATCAGTTTTGGTCAGAACCAGTTCTCGCAGATGAAAGGTCTCGTTTTACTCTGACATCTTGATAAGAGGCTCATCTTCTTGCTACGATTCCTTTCCTCTGGTTTACAGTCACGTTGTACAAGTTTTTAAGACATTTTGGACGTTTTGAATCCTTCAGGACGAGTGTTGAGTTATTTAGGAGATGTTCTAATATGTTGTTTGACAAGTTTCAAATTGTTCTGGGCAGATTTTGAGTCATTTTGGGGACGTTTTTGTCATTTTGGACACATTGTGGGTCATTTGGGGACAAGTTTTGAGGCATATTGGATCATTTTTAGAGAAGTTTTAAGACACTTTGAACAAATTCTGGACAGTGTTGGAGTCATTTTGAAAACATTTTGGTCATTGTGGACAAATGAGGTCATTTGGGTCAGGTTTCAGGACATTTTGGACACTTTTTCATCCATTTCATCAGTACAGCAGACAGACACATGACATTTTAGGAGGAAGAACACATCTGAGTTCTGGTAGAAACTGACACCAGATCAGTTCTACATCCATTGTTTAGCAAATGGTCAATAAGTTGATGTGTTTGTGGTCATTTTTTTGTTTGTTTTTTCTCGTTTGGTTATTTTGTGTGCCATTTTTGGACAGATTTTAGCCACTTTGCATCTCTTTGATGCCAGTTTGTCCATTTTGGTCATTCGGTGTCTCACATTGATTATTTAATGTCTCTATTTTTGGCCCTATTTGGTCGTTTTGTGTCACATCTTGATTGTTGTGCATCTCTTTGTAACATCTCTTTTTTTAGGTCTTATTTTTTTTACCCATGTTGTTGGTCTTGTTTGCAAAGTTTACACTCAAGTTTTTGTTTCATCCGTTTGAAGGAAATGCAGAAACACTGACGACTTCCTTGACATGATGTCAGTTAGGTTGGAGTCGACTCCGAGAGGACGTTCACTAAAGAAGGTTGGACCGGTTCAAACTAGTGAAAACTCTTGGGTGTTCACAGGTGGTCCGGTCCTCCAAAATGAAGGACTCAATCCTGGAAGGTGGCTGATGTAGAACTTTTCTCTTTCTGACAGCAGCAGTAACGAGATTGAGAACCATCAAACCAATGGACCTGGTTCTTTTACTGCTAAACATTAATAATCAAGTTTATGTCAACGTTACTCCATCTTACCTTGTATCAGGTTCACATTTATCAGCTACACACCTGTTACAGATGAGTGTCAATATAACTAATCTCTACTGGAGAGCAGCAACCTGTTTTAATGTGTAAAACACCACCTAGTGAACATGTTTGAGCTCATGAGCAGCTATTACATCTGGCTCCAGGTGTAAAGAAGAAACTGATTTAACTCCCTCAGATCTGTGGTTCCTCGCTGTAAACGGGTCACAGCCGCTGAAAGACGTGCTGCAATCATCTGTAAACGCTGTGTGAAGAGTGACAGCTGGAATGTTTGCTTGACACGCTTTCGTTTTCCTCGGGCGGCTTTAATCTCTCTTATTGTCTCAGAACAAGCCAGAGGCCTTTGACAGACGGCTTTTGTTGCTCTTTGCTGTCGTCATTGTGTCACGAAATCGCCGTGAGAGAACTTTGGTGTTACGCACATTATTCAGAGGAGATCAGAAGCTAATGACCTTATTTTATCCTCTTGTGCAAACATTGGTGTGGAAATATCTGTAGTCTTCTTGATATTTCCTCTTTACTTCAGTACTATATCTTTATCCTATCTGGGAGATTAGAAAACCTGAATTTTTTCAGTGTTAGTTTCCAAATTTGTGACTCAAATGCTCTGTACTTTCTCAAATAAACTCTATGATACATTATTTTTCTGTCCTTGGTTCATAGAGTTTGTTATTCTCTGAGCTATTCTTCAAATATGATGGTTTTACGTTGCTGTTTTGAGGCTGACACAGTGTCAACGAATACAGAGCAGTGACTAGAATCTAGGTTTCTCCAAAATATGGGGTCAACTCTAGTCAATCAGACTTTGGGTAAACGATAAATCAACTCAAGTCAACAGGGATTAACTGTTTTTATGTTTCTCCGCTGCATGTAACTGAAATCCTGAATAATATTAGACTGCCAGTGTCTCCCTCTGCTGCCCATTGTCGGTATTACATCAAATATACAAACTGCTTCTCTGTTTTTTAATCCATATGGGTGACGGCAGTGGCAGATGTTTTTGTCTAAACCTGGTTTTTAACAGACACAAGGACTCTGATGTAGCTGTACACCGCCATGCATTTCTGTAGGAAGACGCTGAATCTTTAGCTGCCTACGTTGAGCTCCATTGTTTTTTATGTGGCACGAAAACATACAAGGACAACAGAACGTTCAGAAACGATGGAGGACACCTTTACCTCCATGTCCACCAGCAGTAAGAGACAGAGAGTCAATCTTCAGTTACATTAACCCTCTGAAACCCGAGCAGTTTCTGAGTCTTTGCTCGTTTTTCCTCACTGTGGCTCATTATTAACTACAATATAAGATTCTACACACCTACGGAAACAGCTCAGCCAGGAAGAAGCAGATGTCTTCTGTGCACTATGACACAGTCAGAATGACACAAATCATGAAAAAAAGCAAAAAAACAAAAGCTGGATGTCTTTGATTTTTTTTATTTCACACATTAAACAACAACAACAACAACCCTGTGATGAACATGCTCAACATGTTCCAAAGTGCTTATACGTGTCAACTACTCTGGAAAACAACGGTGATGCTACATACTGCATATTAAACTATTCACATTTTTTACAACCTCTATAAACTGCATTGTTCACCATCAGCTGAATGTATCTCCAACAACTGGCTCCTCTGTTCTCTGGTTCTGAGCCATGCTGCATTTATTTACTGATTTCCTCTCATGATCCTTTTACTTTTGAGTCATTCTGGAAACATTTCAACTAAATGTGAATAATCTTTTAAATCATTTTCGACCAATTTATGCCATTTGTGACAAATTTTGCGTCATCTAGAATAATCTTTTGGATCATTTTGAACAAGTTTATCTCATTTTGGACAATTTCTTACTAATTTTGGATATTTCAATTTTTCCATTCTCTCCAGACTTTTCTCTCTTCTCTGCTGTTATTAGATGTTCCACCATCAGCTGTATGTATCTCCAACAACTGGCTCCCCTGTTCACTGGTTCTGACCCATGCTGCATTTATTTACTGATCCAGGAGGTTGGGTTTGCTCTGTAGATGAGCAGATGTGCAGTCAGGGGCAGCGAGGTGTCTTTGGCCAGTCTTTGTCTCCCTCTGCTGTTCATCTATTTGACTCCGCTGTAGACACAGTCTACGTTCCTCTGAGGAGAAGCTTTCCTCATCTCCACATAGGTGGAATTCTCACAGTCGTCTTTGTCGTCGCTGTTCTGTAACACAAGAACACAAACATAACGCTTTACTCACAGCAGGAGTTAGTGATCAGACTTCCTGTTCCATTAGAGGAGGACTTATTTGTCTCGGGGCTTTTTTGTTGTTGTTTTGATTCTTCTTTTTCAGTGGTTGTTGCTTATTTTCCTCTCAGTCTCTCCCTCGGAAACACTGCCTGCAGTTCAACCTTTTTGTCAAATGAGTGCTGGTGCGTCTTTTTTCGTTTTTAGAGGATGCGGTGCAATTTGTTTTGGCCAGATTTCAAAATGAAACACGTAGACTTCAGTAATTCTGATGGAAAATCACGACTTTTGCTACAGAACTGCCTGTCACATGTTAGTGATTTACACATCTGGGGATTTTTTTCTGTTTTCCGATGATAGTTTTTGCTCATCAGTCATCACATAACACAGTCAAAGGCTGTTGAAAAGCTAAAAATGAGTCGTTTCTTTGTGTTTTTATGGTTTCTGGCTCTGATAAACGATGAGCAGGTTTGGGGGTTCAGCCTCTCTTGTCTGGTGATGACAGTAATTACACAAATATTGTTAAAGCAGTGATCATTTGTCGTCCGTTGCTCTCTTTATTAGACCGTAATGTCTTCTGTTATTCCTTCTCCATCACCACACATGCTCCAGTCTTTAGCTCTGGCAGGTCCGTCTTTGCTAGATGATGTAAAAGGCATCATTGCTGTCGTGCTAATGCGGCAAACCAGACTTAAAACTCCAGTATTGCTTGAAATGACTGGAGCTGATAGATTTTTTTTTTTTTATGTGAGCTCTTTGTCCTGCATAAAACTGACTCATATTAGCTCATGGTCATAAATCTTTGACAAACAATGACTCATGTGCACAAGCGTTTTGCAGCGTGACCACAGGCTGTATAGTTGTAATTCCCACTCTGCTCCTAAAAAATAACTCATAAACTGATGCATTTTCTGTGTGACGCTACGAGCCTACAGTCAGCAGCGCTGGGTGTTACGAGGTTTATTGGGATGTGTGGTTTACATCTCAATGTATAGTAAATTTAAAAAACTAAACTTCTGTTATGGGGTGGGATATTTAGACAGTTTTCTGTCAACTCCAACACTCAGCGTATTATTCTGAGCTGTTTCTGCACCTTGGATGTGTGAACACAGGACATAAAAAGCCACTTCCTGTTTAAAATGTTATTTGGCTCAAACCAGAGAGGAAGAGACGAGTTTATAAATTGCAAAGGAGAGCTTCCTTTTGGCCTTCTTCTTTTCAGTATTGTTCTCAGGTGAGGCCGTAAAGTATTCATATTTTAGAGCGCCACCATCCGACTTCAAGTTGACAAATTATCGGCTGGAAATCAGGCTGTGATGCAGGCCTGTTCACCACCAAAATGGGAAATAAAATGGTAAAATGAAGATTTTAATGCATAATAAAAATGAATGTGCATAGAGCAGAAAAATGAAACCACATTTCACTGCTGTGTTTGTGTTGTGAGACATAAATGTGCAATATTTCTACTTTACTACCTTAAAATCATTGTCAGCGTCACTTTGTCTGTTCACGTCTTATTTTAGCGTACCTATTTTTATTTTCAGCCATGCGTCTTACTTATATCTTGTTGATTTTCCAGTAGGCGCTGCATTTCTTGTGGTATATAAAGCGTTTGGAGCAACATCTGGAGAAATTAAAGTCTTGTCTTACAGCCTGACGGTGGCCTTTCCAACAGCAGATGTTTTGGCACCTCAAAGCATAAAATGCACCGTTTTATTAAAGATGGCTGCGCTGCTGTACGTACTGGTTTACTGCCATGGCTTACTGGGACGCTTCATTGAACTGAGCCATCGCTGTGCCCTTGTGCACTTTCTCAGCTGTGAAGAAGATGCTCTGGGACCGAGACGTGCACTTTGCTTTCAAGCTTCGTTCTGAATAGGCCCACGAGGTGGTCATCGTGGTCGCCAGAGTCTTGATCTTTGTGGTGAGCGCATGAGACTGTGGCCAAGTTTCTTCTTCCAGCACTCGAGCTGCATGTGTTTGAGCTGTCTGAATGTCAGTTGATCAGGTGGAAACTGAACCGCATCTGTTCTTATCTGAGGCCAAGACACAAGCTGTCTGGTTAAAGTGTCTTCTGTCAGAGATGTCGATATCTGATAGTCTAAAGTAGTGACGATGCTTCCCCGGGAACGAAGCCAACGTATCTCAGAAATGTGTGTCTGATGATGTCGTTTACAGTCAGTTGCGACCGGGCGTAGGACAGTCAGCACAAGGTTGCAGCGAAGAGCTTCTGGCATATTTTCCCTGCATTACAAACTGCAATAGCACCACAGCTGCCCTGAGAAGTCCACCACAGGCTGCAAAAGTGTAAAATGTGAGGACTCCTGTGGTCTTTTAGAGTCAGCTGCTCATACTTGTTTATCCTCGTGTATGTAGGTCACCTATGTTCCACTGTGCGGTTCATTCTCAGTGTTGGTGACCAGAAAAGCTCAACTGCTTTCAAACTGCAAAATGCAACCACACGAAGTAGAGCATCACGCTGGGGTTGCATGATGAAGACCAAAATGATAATCATGATCATTTTTGCTCAATATTGAGGTTGTTTATTCTGATTATTTACTGATTTTTAGGGGCAAATGTTTTTATTTCACTTTTACTTTTAAGCAAACGGCACTGATTTCACTTCCATGTTGTGCTACGTTAATATAAGGCTTAAAATGATCTCCACATGAATTCAGTACATCTCTTCAAGGCAAACACGACATAAATTGTTCCCTAAAACCCTCAAATGCCGCTTTATTGGTGCTACTGGTCGACTGTGCAGCTTCTAGTCTCCATCAGTTAAAGCAGCTGAGAGACCAAATGTTAATTTGAAAAGAGTGAACTATGGTGCCCTGATGTCAGCTTTACACAAGCTTGTCCACTAAAATTATACAAGATGCAACTTGGCCTGACTGTAATAAACATAAGCACCAAAATACTCAAGTTTCTTAGACTTGCACTTGAAATCGAAAAGACCGAAACTTCCCTACAGTATTTTTAATTATGGAGATTAGCCTGACTAATTTAAATATTAAGGCTCAGACCCTGCAGTATTAGTAATTATGGAGATTACTGAGGTGAATTTAAATATTAAGGCTAAGAGCATTCATTGTTACTAATTATAGAGTTTTGTCTGGCTAATTAAAGTACTAGGCTAAGACCACAGAGTAATAATAATATTTATGTAGAATAACCTCAGTAAATGTCATATTAATACTAAGAACATCCAGTATTGTTAATTTAGTAAATTTACTTCAGTAATTTACATTTTAAGGCTCAGGCTTTACTGTGTTATTAATTATAGAGTTTAACCGGACCCAATATGAAGGCTAAGACCCTACGTTATTATAAATTATGGAGCTTAACATGACTAATTTAAATACTAAGGCTAAGACCATAGAGTAATAATAATTATGGAGATTAACCTCAGCAATTTAAATAGTAAGGTTAAGACCCTACAGTAATAATAATTATGGAGGTTGACCTAAGAAATGTTTATATTAAGGCTAAGACATTACAGTAATATTAGTTATAGAAATTAGCTAAACTAATTTAAATTTTTAGGCTAAGTCTCTACAGTAATGATAATGGTGGAGGTTAATCTGAAAAAAAATAAATGTAAAGGCTAAGATTCTACAGTAATGTTAATTATGGAGATTAATCTTCAATGTTAAGGCTAATACAGTACAGTTTTATTAATTATGGAGACTAGCCTGACTAATTTAAATATTAAGGCTAAGACATTACAGTATTATTAATTATGGAAATTTGCTAAACTTGTTTAAATATTAATATTAAGACAGTTCCGCATAATTAAGGAGATTAGTTTGCCCAGTTTAAATGTAAGGCTAAGACCATATGGTGTCATTAGTTATAAAGATTACAACAAAAATATATGTGAAAACCCAACAAATCCAAGGATTTCCTGGATGACTTAGCTTTGTTTTTGTATTTATTTTTTTGTGTTTTATTTATTATTTATTTATTAACCAAGCTCCGTGAGGACAATCATCTGCCTTAACCGGCCGATGTGATACACAAACTGAGACTTGTGGTATATGAGGAAGACAAAGAGCCGGACAGATAGTCACCATCAGTCTGACGTAGAAGGAAGTGATGATACAGCTGTACAGGAAGGTCAGGGCCAGCAGACCAATCAGAATCCAGCTGACCAGGTCAGGTTTCGCAGGTGGGGCGGGTGGAGGGACGGGGCGAGGCTTGCATCGCTCCTCGGTTTCCTTTTGACCTAAATGAAGCAAAATGTGGTTATTTCCTGTTTTTTCTTCGGTGGTTTACACCACAAGTATCAGGTTGATGTGTTGGTCTGATCACAGCTTTTCTTACTGTTCAGCACAAACTGAAGTGAACTCTATAGTCACAATAAAGCCCTTACAAATGTAACGTGACTAAATGAGCACCAGCTGGGTTTGAGAAGCAGAAAAATGCATTCTTTGCTTTTATTTCTTCAGATTCAAACTCTGAACTGAGCTCTGGGAAATAGTAGCTGGTCTGCTTCTTATGTATTGTGGGTGTAGTTTGGTGAAAACTGACTACCGGCGTGAGGAAACAAGCCCACAAGTGTTGTCACCTTCTGATTCAGACGCTCCTAAATCTGAGGAAATCTCTAAGACGTTTGTTCCATCCGCCTTAAACCAAAACAAAGAGCTGAGAGAGTAACAGGACGGGCAGAAATGTCTCAGGTGAGAATCTTTGCGCAGGAAAACACACAAACGCTAAATGTTCTTCAGGGCCTTTTAGTTTGACTACATGAATGAAACTCCATCAAACGCCACCTCAAGCGGTGTTTCCCGTGACGACAATCGGCTTCCTCCTGCAGCAGCGACCTGAAACCTTGAGGCAGCAGTGAGCTCCAGTGTGTTTAGTACACCTGTGCATGAGGACAGGTGAGTTACCTGGACCGGGGTGGAATGCAGATGGGTCAGTTCACTGAATGCGCCGCGCCTGACCATCTTCAGTTTGACAGACTTTTATGTCAATTGAGTTCATCACGTGTGAAAGTCTGGGGTCACAGGTGCCACTTTTCATACAATAGTTTAAAGCTCGATGATTTAGAGAACCATGGTTTGTCTTTTAGGAGGTCGCAGGATTCTGTAGCCCTTCCAGTATTGGACTGGTTTCACCTGTCAGACCTGATTAATGCATGTCAGGCCATAACTGCAAAAAGTGTTGTTTTAAGACTTTTTGTTTTTCTGGCACTATTCTCTTATTAATAGCTTGATTTGACCCACACTGGTAGATCTACGGATCAAATGTGACCCTAAACAGAGGACAAAAATTGGTTTACATTTTTTGTGCATTATGGGTCACTGTAGGAAACGGGTCAGATCTGACCTGAAACACTTTGTAAGGGTTAAAAAGTTCAAAACACCCGTGACCACAAATTTTACACCTTAAGAACAAATCTAACAAATATGAGATGGTCATGTGTGAACTTTGAATTTATTTTTTTGAGTTGGAATGACGCTGATATCAGAACTTTTCGGATCTTCTCCACATCGTTGTTTTAACCATTTGTTTCTCGCTACAGACGCCCACAGTGGGATTTGTTACGACTCCGTAAAGCAGGGATCTCCAACTCCGGTCCTCATGAGCTGCTGTCCTGCAGGTTTTAGACGTTACTGCAACACACCTGACTCACATGAATGGATCTCCAACAGCTTGTTGCCAACTAGCTCTGTTAATGAAGTTCAGTGATGTGCGGCTCGTTCATGTGTTTTTGACCTGCTTCAACTTGATCTCACACTTCGGTTACACAGACAATAATTTCATGAGTTTTAGTGAACAACAAATAAAATATAAACCATCACAAGACTAATTATGTGAATTATTAGGATTAAATGATCTGAAATACTCCAATATCAGAGTCGTTTTAGAGTATCATCAGAGAAATAAAACATCTGAATGCGTCCTTTTGATGAGCAGTGATGAAACTTGAGGGTTTTAATCGATGCCAGAGAAGTTAGACTGGGGAACTAACAGGTGAAAACAAAGACCGAGACCTGGTTTTTCATCCTGGAGTGGAGGTTAAAGTGTCGGTTCTTCTGTATTTCCTACCTTGCAGTAGTCTGGTTGGTGTTCCTCTCTCCATATGATGGATTTCCTCTATGTTTAGTGAGAACTCGCACTCGTACGTCACGTTCAGTGCCTCCGGCCCGATGTTGAGCAGGATGAAGGTGAACTTGTTTTCACTCTCTTCAATCATGAACATGTTCTCACAGCTTGTCATCCCCTTCTGGCAGAGCATCGTCCTGTCAGTCCTGAGCATAGACAAAGACAAATGAACTCTAATTAGTCTTTACTGTCTCGTTAGGTCATGAGTTTAAGTAATAACATAACCATTTTTGGACATAGATTGTTGAGAAGCCTGATCCCACCCCAGAGGAAACTAGCTATCCGTAAATCCATTACTTCATAAGGTCCTTTTAAAAAATAATAAAACCAGTGTTTTTAGCTCCTGTCTCATGTTCCTTCACCGAGGTTCATGTTTCTCTGCAACATAAAGTCCTGCAGCTCTGTGGAACCAGAACACGAAGGAGGAGAGAGAATTACAGAAACCGGAAAAACAAGACAAACGATTATGACGATTTTCTGGAAATGTCATGTGCGTCATTTTTCCAAGTGCCCACAGATGTTAGCAGAGTTGGAAATAAACAAGACATTTTTACAAACTTATAGAACCTTCTTCTTCTTCTTTTTTTTTTTAGGCTATTTTGAACTTGTAGAAAGATGTTCCACCATGCTGGATGTATCTCCAACTGGCTCCTCTGTTCACTGGTTCTGAGTCATGCTGCATTTATTCATTCATCCAGCAGTTCAAAGCGATTCGAAACTTGTCCAAAGTAATTTAGAATTGTCCAAAATGTCTCACGATTTGGCCAAAGAAACAAACAATTTCCAAACTGACTCAAGAATTGTCCAAAAATAATTCAAAATTGATCTAAACTTAACCCAAAAAAGTCCAAAATAACTTGACTCAAGTTCAAGAGTGTGAGAATTTTTTTGTTTTCTTTAAACACGTACTATACCTATTTACCTGGTCCCGTGTTTATAGCCTCTATGAGCTTGTAGAAAGATGTTACACCATCAGCTGAACACATTTTCCAACAACTGGCTCCGCTGTTCGCTGTTTTTAAACCATGCTGCATTTATTTTATTGATCAGATACTGACTGTTGGTGACAGCTGAGTCCGTTGTGGCTCCTCAATTGAATATTTGTTCTTTCAGTGATCTAGTGCAACAGGTTTATTTTACATAGTGATTTTGATGAAATATCAGAATTTTATGCTTAAATCTGGTTATTTTTCCTCATGAAGTCTACGTCATACATGATGCGTTCAAGTAGAGTCGAAAAGTTTAAAATGTGAGCATCCTTCTTTCCTTTGTTTGTAGTTTCTGGCTGATAAATGCTATCATTTGGGGGTTTGTACAGTCACGTATCTTTCAGGGTTCAGAAGGTCAATGACAACAGAATACGTACGGTGTTGTTTTGCTGTTGAGTCGAACATCTAAGAGCTCGTAGACTTGTGCGTGGTGTTCACAGCTGATGAATGCCGTCTTGTCTGGGTTTACGGTCCGGTGCTCTGGTTGGGTCACCTGGAATCCTGACGGATGAGAAGGATTTAGCTTCTAGTGGAAAACACAGAACAAGCTGACGAGGAGGTTTTCTCCAGTTTCCGTCAGAGATTTGTTTCTTATTGGTGTTTCCATTCAGCACTTCTTCTCCATTTTCTTTTATCACATGAACAATATCGGTAACCAGTTTGTTCGTATGCTGACTGTGAGTTTGTTCTTTTCATGTTAGCTTGTAAACCCATAGCTAATCGCTCAAAGTTGGTGAGATCCTGAGGTATTGTTAGAATAGTAAATACATGTCAAATACACATTAATTGCTCCAGTCGACAGATAGTGAAATCTTACTTTGGTTGAAGACGACGCCAAGATGAACCATGAAGATGATAAAGAAGCTGCTAAAAGTCATCTCAGCGATTAAAAACAAAACCTGTATAAGATCTAAGAGCCGTCTGACTGCACCAACATGACAGTCACAGACACCTTATTCTAATGACGAGCTCCTTATTGAACTGGAAGTATCTGGAGACTGAGCTCGATGTCGTGTTCTGTGTTTGTGCAGCACCTGCACTCTTATCGGCTGTTTTGGTTTTTCTGTGGGCGGCGTTCTTTCCTGTAGTAGTCATGCAGCAGCCTCTCTCTTTTTTTCTGTTTCTTTTCCCACAAACCAACAGGCACTTTAAATGATACCGCTGTTGAACTGCAGCAAACGTGGCTCTGTTGCCCTCTGTGGAAAGTTTAGAATTTGAGAATAAGACGAGTTGTGCGTAGAGCAGGTCTTTTGGAAAACAATAACTTGTGTTTTGTTATGTATGAAGACTCAGACCTAGAACTTTATTGGAACGTTATTCTGACGCAGAGTAAAGCAGGCCCTCTTCTAAACACAACCTCGTCTCCACAAAGTTCCATTCTTGTACGACTCAGCTGCATCGTCGATCACATTCTGACGTTGTAGAAAAGGTGACCAGGTAGCTATGAGTTACGAGGTAGACGGGAAGGATGGAGGCGATACCCAGAGAAGCATCAGTCTCAGGGTTAAGTTTGATATTCTGTAGTTGTTTACTCTCGGTTTTCACTTCAGGCACCAAAACTATGTGGTTGTGATCAGGAAGACATCACACTCTGTTCGACACTTTACCATGTTTAGAGCTTCGTTTAATGTAGGCTTCAGAGTTGCCTGGTTACTGCAGGACAGATGACACTTCAGAACAGTCCAGTGTTTTCCTCTGAGCTGTTCTTGGCTGTTTTTAGCTGTGTGTGTTTTGGGTCATTATCCTGTTGCATGACCCATGACCTGTGGCTGAGACCAAGCTGTCTGGCACTGGGCAGCACATTTCTCTCTAGAACACCTTGATAGTCTTGAGATTTCATTGGACCCTGCACAGACTGAAGACACCCTGTGCCAGATGCAGCAAAGCAGCCCCAGAACATAACAGAACCTCCTCCGTGTTCCACAGTAGGGACAGTGTTCTGTTCTTCATATGCTTCATGTTTGTGTCTGTGAACATGGAGCTGATGAGCCAAAAAGTTCCAGTTTAGTCTCATCTGTCCAGAGGACGTTCTCCCAGAAGCTTTGTGGCTGGTCAACATGCAGTTTGGCAAATTCCAGTTTGGCTTTTTTATGATTAGTTTTCAACAATGGTGTCCTCCTTGGTCGTCTCACATGAAGTCCACTTTGGCTCAAACAATGACGGATGGTGCCATCTGACCCTGATGGACCTGGACCTTGGAGTTCACCGTTAATGTCTTTACAGGTTGTTCTGGGCTCTTTTGTTACCATTCGTATTATCTGTCTCTTCGATTTGTCATCAGTGTTCCTCCTGCGGCCACGTCCAGGGAGGTCGGCGACAGTCCCATGGATCTTACATTTCTGAATAATATGGGCAGCTGCAGTCACAGGAGCATCAAGCTGCTTGGAGATGGTCTGATAGCCTTTACCTTTAACATGCTAGTCTATAGTTTTCTTTCTAATCTCCTGAGACAACTCTCTCCTTGGCTTCCTCTGGTCCATGTTCAGTGTGGTCCACACCATGTCACCAAACAGCACAGTGACCACCTGTAACCCTATAAACAGGCCGACTGACTGATTACAAGTTTGTAGACACTTGTGATGCTAATTAGAGGACACACCTTGATTGAACATGTCCCTGTGGTCACATTATGTTCAGTCTTTTCTAGGGGTACCATCATGTTTGTCCAGGCCTGTTTCATGAGTTTTTTTTTTTTTTAAATTCTGTTGAACCATGATTCAAAAGCAATGTCTGATTTTCATTGGTTAGTTTTCATAGAATTTTTATTTATTATTACTTTTGTCAGATTCAAGTTATTTCTGACCGTTGTGGGTTTTTCTTTCATTAACTGAGGGGTACCAACTATTTTGTCCACATGTGTATCTCAAACACAAGTTAAAAATGTATAAATTTGCCCAAAATGGTGCAAAATGGTCCCAGTATGAGATAAAATTGGTCAAAAACAAGTTTAAAAAAAAAAAAGTCCCTGATGACTCTGTTCATGGGTCGCCGCTCAGCCAGGTGAGCTGTAGGGACGCCCTGGAGGCGGAGTTTTCGAAAGGTGCTGCTATTGTCCCCGCCTCCTTCAGGAAGAAGACTCCCTCTGAGTCTGTGAGCGACAGCACAGAACAAAACTGTTGATATGCAAATGTGGGACTTTTTCTATCCTTTCTATCTTCTTCTCCAACTGTATGGCTGTGTAATAAATAACCACAACAGCAATTAGTCAGACAGATGAACTTCTGCATCAACCATTCTTGGTTTACTTACAGTTTGTGGGGGAGGCAAGACGACCATATGTATACATCATCAGTCAATACACTGCGGTTGAAACCCTGAAGTCGTTCTGCAGAAAATATTGGTGAAGAGTCATCGTTTGTTGACACACTCAGTGTTAGAATGAGAACTGAGCCTTTGATTCTTTAGAAACACACCGTCCTGGTTGTCTCAGGTTTCCACAGATGTTCAGATTTGTTGAGCGCTCATAGCGGTCCACCTCTGATTCCTACTTGGTGCTTTCAGATGTTGGTTTTGCATCATTTTCCTCTGAACAGTGTTTCGCTGGAGAACAACTTGATTATCTTCTCATTTCAAACTTTCTGTCTTCTCTCACTTTAACCAGTTCAGGCAGCTGCACTTATTCATTTTGATTTGATCTGAAAATCTATCAAATGGTGCTGCAGCACAAGAACTACTGAGGAATAAAACTCAGATGATACAGCTGCTGTTTCTATAATCGATACTCGACCTTTTGTTCATATGTTTGACGGACATGAAGCCACACCGACGACTTCTTTGACATCAGTTAGTTTGGAGTCGACTCAGAGTAAACCTCCAGTAAACGTGAAATGAGTTATCGCTGTTTTGTCCATTTGTGGTCATTTTACATCTCTTTGTGGTTGTTTTTGTTACATTTAGGTTGTTTTGTTGGGTTCGTCATGTTGCATCTCCTCGTTGCCCTTTTGTCTCTTCATGGTTGTTTTTGTCTCATCTCTTTTTATCAATTTTGTCTGGTTTTGCACATTTTGGGTCTCTTCTTCTTCTTCTTCTTCATGTTGTTGTTGTTTTTGTTGTTGTTGTTGTTCTTCTTCTTCTTCTTTTGACATGTTGTCAGTTAGTTTGGACCAAGCAGTCTCCTTCAGGTCGGGCCGGTTCATAGTTGTGAAAACATGAGCGTGTCCACTGGTATGCTGTTCGTGCTGCCGCCAAAAAAAAATACTAATAACAATGAATTTTACACGTATGACAGCGGCACCAGAAGTTGTTCAGCCAACAACAGATTGGTCGAATGAGTGCGTATCGATTACAGGCCTGCTCTCTAAATTATGACTTCTTGACCTTTCCATGAAAAGTTTCTCGTAGTCCGGTGAATTCATGTGATAAATCATTTCATAGGGTGTTAAACATTTAAAGCTGTCGGGTAAACTTTGGCTCAGCAGCTCTGGTTTACAATGTGCAGTTATAAATAACGGTGACTTGACGTTGGTGTTTTCTCCGGTGGACAGAGCTGACGTGACTCACCGAACAACTCTAACTTTGCTTCATCCGTCCAAGGGTCAAACTCCCAGAAGCAACATGTAGTTTTAACAACCTGCAGTCTGGCTTGTTGTTAAAGTTCCAGACGGTGACGAACGATGTTTTTTACCAGATCTTAGCATCTCAGCCTTCACTGATCAAATTTCTGTCGCCCTCAGTCGGGGATGAAAATGACTTTCTGGTGGTGAAAGAACTGAAAAATGAAATAGGAAGAATCGAAAGGGTTCAATATAAAGACAGAATGCATCTAACAATAAAGAATGTGTTTTATATTTCAGGATTAGCCTACTGATGCATTAACACCACATTGGACTGATTCTAGCTTCACTTAAATGCGTCACCCTGACCCTCGTAAGGCCGCGTTCATTAACCTCACAGCTGCATTCATCTGGCTATCTTCTGAAGACACTGAATTCTGTGACATGATAGTGCAAAGGAAGAGTCAGCGGTGTTATTCCACATCCTGTTTTTCATAGCTTAGTGTTTGTGAACAGACTTTGTGTGAGTTACACAAGTAGAAACCACAGACGCTGAATCCTGCTCTGATTGGTCCTCTGCTCCCTGTTTGAGATGAGATAAACTGAAAACTGTCCTGTGTGGGATTTTTCTCTCTCTTTTTTTTGTTGTTAAATTTAATCTGTGATCAGTGCAGCGTTTAGTTTTTTCCTTTTCTCAGCAGGTTGTTTCAGGTGACACAAGAAAAACAAATTCAGCTTATCATCCGTACCAACACAGCAGATGAACGTTTTCCTTTACTAGCGCAGCAGCATTAGTACAGACTGTCGGTGATAAATGAACATTCATGGACCATTTTTAGTGTTTAAGTTTGACATTTGGCCGTCGCCATGTTGGTCTTAAAAAACCGGACATGCGATAACTTGACAACTGGACGACATGCTCATACAGCAGCGATCACATTTTCCTCTAAATGGGACCATAACTTATGACATAAACACCACTGTGTATCGTTGGAGACATCAAACTAGAGACTGAGACCATAAACTTGTTTTCTTTTGGGCCTTTATACAATCAGGCTTTGTTTGGCAACCAGGAGGCGCCCCCTGCTGGTTAGCTGCTGACTCTTCCCTTTTCAGCTTTTACTGAATGAAACACCTGTTTTATGGATATATACATGAAAGTTTGTGACTTTGGTCCCAGTCGATTACAGATATGTTCTGACTGAAGGAACAATTCCCTGCAGGACCCTTTTCAGGGACGAAAAAAAAAGTACCTACTTCTGAGCAGCTGTTAAAACTGATGCTGATTGGTTCCACAATAGGTGATATGAATTTTACAGAGGTCCTACCAGGATGGTTCTGTTACATTTAATTCAGTTTTATTTATGTAGCACCAAGGTTGGGAAAGGAAGGAAAAACTATGAGCTTTTGTATTTGTGGGACTCAGATGGCGGATCAGACGATTTGCTCAAGCTGCAGTGTGGCTTTTGAAAAGTTTTCTCTTACAATCACAACGTTAAACTCAGAGACGACAACAACGAGCATCATTTTTCTTTCCTCGTCCAGTCACAGCCTCCTCCTCGCCAATGCACCATATAGTCCAACATGACAAACCTCAGCTGCTGCATTGTCTACATTGAACTGTACTTACGTGCACTATATGACTTTGCTGCACTCTGAGATCAAGTTGCAGGCAAAGCGGTTGGAGAAAGACTGAAAGGACAGATTTCTGTGTCCAACCTGAACCAAGCTCCATGCAGGGAAATCGATCACTGACCCACGGCCGCCATGTTGAAAAGGTTTCCCGGCGTGGCAGACTGACTGAGGACTCTAGTCGATGCTACCTGAGTTAAAACTGATGCAGCATCGTTGTACTGATGAGGTTGAGCTGCAGTTCAGAATTTCTAAAATAACATCAGCTTCATTGGCTCATCATCATGAGGCTGTTCTTTCCTCTTTAGTTCAGAGTTGTGATTTAAAACCAATAACCTCTCTGACCTGGTGATTGCGACTGAATTTATGGAGTTTTTTTGAGGTGAAAACGTCACAAAACAGTCTGACTGGGATGTTGAAACGTGGAGGTTTTAGTAACTCGTACTGGTATTTCGTCCCATTGGGGTGACCCCTGACTCCCACTGACTCTACCTCCACGTCACCGTTTTATTTATAAAGTCTTATTCGGCCCAGTATTTTGGGTTTTGGCCGAGTTCCTCCAAAACTAATGGCATTCAAGGAAGAATTAACATGCCAGCAATATCAGTGGAGACCTCAGGAGTTGCATGAATTATGTTTCACACGCCTCACACTGATGACTTGAACAGACAGAAGGCTTCATTAGGAGGCACTTCTGCATGTGAACACTGCTCGTGTGCTGGTTTCCTGATGTCTGCAGAATTAAATCTGCTCAGTGTGCTTTTTATGACTGCCTGATTTGTTTGCTGATCTGTGCATGTTTGCCTGTTTGTGAGAGGTTTGGGTTTCTGTGGCCTCCGACCGTCTATGAAATGTGGATGAAGGCTGAGGAAGCGACCATCTGAAGCTCCACCAGCAGCCTCTAGAGTCTGCAGTGTTCCACTGCACTCCACTGAAACAGAATTAGTTATAACCGGTAGCAAAGCGCGATCCTGAAGGGAAGGACATGGACGTGTTCAGTAAAATTTATTTAATTCTGAAGCAAAGTTCAGGGATTCGACTTTTGTTTCAAAAGGTGTGACCTCCTAACTTTAAATGTGTGTTTTTATTTATATATTTGCCTGCCAGGGTCAAATACAGTCGTGACTCAATAGTCCGACCCTTGACAATCCGACAGCCTTGCTATCCGACATAAAAGTAGGTTTTACATTTAGTGTCGGATTATTGAGCCACGCCTGTATAAGCTTATGGCCTTATAATAGCATCATCACAACCAGATTAATTTCAACATTAAGGTTTCAGTCTACAGTTGTATACATGGTGCAGACTCACCTGGTCGTCTTTAAATGAGTTTTAAACTCTGTATGTTTTCATATTGCTGCTTTGTTCCATTTGAACTTGAGAGAACGTCTGTTTCTTCCTTCCCTCGTGTACCAAAGTGAAGCTTCTCTTGTTTTTAACCACTCAAAGCTGCGTTTTACATCAGGAGAGTTTATTTTAAAGAGCTATCCAACATGAATATTTGCTGAACATTGCAATGGCAACAACATCTGAAGGTAACGATCAAAACAGCTTCGTTCACCTTCATGCACATTAACGATTCAAAGCATTGCATTTTCCACAATTACCAACTCATTTTGTACACAGTACAGCAACACAAGCCTTTCATAGAAGCACATGTTCACCGTTAACCTCTTAAGACCCGAGCTATGGTTTCATATGGATTTTTAGGAGAATAAAAGATTTTTTTTTTAAAATATAAAGAAAATAAAAATCTATTTTTAAAAAAATAATCTAAAAAACCCCCAAAAAACAGTATATATTAAAAAAAATAAAAATAAATAACACTAATAAAAATAGTAATAATAAAAAAGCTACTGTGGTGATATAACCCAGAATGTGATGTCCAGGTCTGAAGAGGTTAACGGCTCCGTGGAAACTCAGCCAAAGCTGCAGCTCTTTAACATCATGTGTGTTTACAATAACGTAAACATTATTTTTATACTTAAGAAGTAAAATATTCACAGACGTCTCCATCCGCGGCTACAAGAGATCCTCTGTCATAATAGAGGTAAAAACCTGTTTCTCCCATAATCCAATGCTTCGAGGCAGACGTACACCTGCTCTGGACATGACGGGAGAGGAAGGTTGTTGTATTTTCACGCCATGTTTTCACACTGATACGAGGCAGCATCCATCTTGTGAATCACGCCAGACACTGTTCTGATGATCTCCCTCCTCGACCGTTCACACTGCAGAGTCTGCAGATATAAAACACAGATTTAAATGCAGTAAACAGCAGAGGACGATTATCTTTTAGTAGGTCATATAAGATAATGTGAGAGTGGACAGTTGAGAGGACGCAGAAGAATCCCTCCAACACTGGAGGCGTCTGGGGAGATTTAAAGGATAATTAGGCTTTATTTTAGCCTCATGTATTCCACATTACGGCGTCCACCTCCACCGCAGAGACTCTGGGCAACAACAAAGGCATGTTTCTGTTCATAAAAGGGAATTATCTTTAAAGCCTTCAGACTGCTGTTTCAACTGATTGACTATTTGCACCATGTGAGGACATCATTAGCTAAAATAATTGACTCTAAGCTTAAAGAAACGAAGCAGGACTCACTTTAAATACCATAATATGCCAGCCAATGTGGTAAAAACAATAATAAAACTTATCAAACCCATTGTTATGCTCAATAAAAGACACAATCTCGTTAAAGAGGAATAAAAACTAAAAGCAACAGATAAAAAAAAACAAAAAAAAAAACAACATTAAATGACATCTAAAAGAATAAAATGCAGCGTATTCAGCTGCTAAGAACGAAGATAGACTTAAAAATGAAAAGAAAATTCATAGGAAGGCCTTTTGGTGCTTTAGTGGCTTCTTGTGTAATATTCCAATAAGATAAAACCAATTATACTACAACCAGTTGACTGAGCCCTGGAGGCAGCTGCCCAGTCGATAATAACTGACTTGATTACAACTATAACTGTCCCTTTTACTGCTCCTCTGAACCTGCTGCTGTTATTACTGCTGGGACTCCTCCCACCGCCGCCTCAACACATTCAGCTCGTCTTTTCTTATCGCCTACGAGAGACTCAGCTACTGAAGCGTATCGCTGCCACGCCAGAGAAAGAAAAACGGATCTGTTTCACATCACACTTCCTGAATCTTTGTGGGGATGAATTCCACTTTGCCACCGCTTTGACTGAGGAAACAGAAATAAAGAAGTGACTGACCTGGAAGTAGATGATGACGAGGAGGATGCACATGATCACGATGACCAGGACGAGGACAGGAACGCTGTCCGCCACCATCCTGGTATCGCCGTCAGTCTCCTCTTCCCCTTCACTCTGGTGTGCGGTTTGTCTCTGAGCTTCTTGTACAGGACAGCCGGAGTGATCTGTGGACAGAAGCAACAGTCAGAAAACACAGGACCAGCAGAGGCATGCGATGGATGCTGTCAGAGTCTCAGATGTGGGCGTCTAACCGAGGACGTGGATCAGGGTGCCGTTGCCGGTGAACCGCAGATACGGGGGCGGGTAGAAAACCTGAATCTGACAGCGATACAGATCTGTGTCTGTGGCTTTCAGTCCGGACACCGTCACCTCCACAGTGCCATCCGAGGCCCGAGCAGAGCACTGCACCTGAAACACCACATGAAGCAGCTCCCGTCATCACAGAGCTTCACTGGAGCCACGAGCAACGTCTTCAAGAACAAGAAGAAAGGAACCAGTCCGTTCTTCGAGGAGGTTAAAACAAGGATTTTTGGTGTATTCTACCACAGCCTCAACATTCCTACATTTACCGTCTATAACGTCATGTTTTCCTCACAGGAGAAAACCGTCAGATCCAATGGGACGATTGCTGAACATGTCCATACAGTGAGCTTACTTTCTACATAACATATATTTATGCTCATTTTAATTAAGTTTCTATTAGAAAAAGGAAATTGAAATGGCAGAATTTTTAAAAAACAAACAAAAAAACTCCCCAACTTCAGAAAAAACACTTGCTTAAGGTAGTTTTTAACTTTTTCTAAAGAGTTAATGAGCTTCATTGGAGATGGGAACTTGTTTTCTGAGTAGCTTATCACAAACTGGTTTTGTTTGCAGCTTCTTCTACTCTGTTTATTTTTGCGTTATTTGACGACTTTTCAGAGTTTTGCCTCCACAATTATACAGAAACACAACTTCTGGCCGAATTATCAACTCAGAATCTCTCCTTCTTTTAAGGCCTTTGTAAACGTCCGACAGTGTTGAATCAATAAAGTTTATCTTGTGTCTTATCTGTATACTACTGAACAAGCTCAGCTGAACAAGCTGACTTTAATGTCCCCATTGATTAGGGTGAATCAGTGGTTGAAGGACAAACAGTAAAGCCTGTAAGAGAAGCTTGTTATGATTATTACCATTATATTTGCCTACATAAATACATTCAGCTTATTCTTTAACACAGACATAATATCCACCAACAAATTCACCATTTAAGTTCTGCTTCACATTTTTTGTTGTACTTCGGCAGATTAAAGAACCCAAAGACGTGGTTGGTTCTTTAGATTGTAGCTAATTTTATTCAGTGTGTTCTTTCTAGTTGAGCCTCACCTGGAAAACCTAATAATCCAGATGTAGATATCTATTGGTCTATAATCTAGATTGCTTTCGTACCTCTCCCTCCGGCTTCACATCCGTCTCCTTTGGCTTCTCTGGGAAGCTGAAGCTTGACGAGCAGAGTTCCTGGGTACCATGAAGGCCTTTTAGCAGCGTCACCTTGAGGTCCTCGGGATCGGGGAAGGGGTATGACAGGGTCTGGTCCGGGAGCGGTTCAAGCTGGTGGTAGGATGGACGGGGATGGATGACACACTGGATCTGTGCTGTACCGTTGGTGCTCTCCACTCTGTAGGGTTGTATCACCTTCACTACTGGAGAAAGAACAAGTTTATTAGCGACTAGAACTAGTACGCAGACATCTGATGTCAGCTATTATTAAGTACAATATTGATAGATAACAGTTCTTCCAACTCAGCACTTTAGAGTCATTCTGTTTGCAAATGATGCTGTGTTTTATCTCAAGGTCAGACTGATGTGTCTTCATTCTACCTTCCAAGTATCACTTCTGAACCACTTAGTAAAACTCTCCACCTCCACCTGAGCCATCAGAACTTTAGATGGTAACCACATCATTCTTGCGAAGTCTTTTCAAAAAAAAAAACAAACAAAAAAAAAACGCCTTCCTGTCCTACTTTGTCTCAAGCTGTAAAATATCACATCATATCACATATGACAGGTACAATACAACCACGACCAGTTGGCAGAGGTTTAGCTTTTCCTAACCTCCCCATACTGCTGCATAAATCATTTGTTTGCCTGAAGAAACAGCAATTTAATTTATGACCTTAATGGAAATTGTCAAAAGACAGTTGGCCAAACATTTAATAATGCTAATATTCATAACTTCTTTGATATAGCAAAAGTTTGCTGGCAGGAAAAGCAAAATCAGAACACCCAGAAGAATATAGGCCATAAGACCCAAACAAAGTCCTGCAGAACGACCAATTTCAAAAGCATATATATATATTTTAAAATTGAATTCTAAATATTGATTCATGACTGCACTGCTGGGTAGTTTAATCTACAATAATAATGCAACATATATTTTAATTTAGTTTTATTTTATCAACCACAATCTGCAAAATCTACTTCATGAAGAAGAAAAATAGCATAATATAGAAATACTTAAGTACAGGTACATCCAAACTGTATTTATGTGCAGTACTTGAGTAAATGTACACTTTGGAAGTCTTTGGTTAATTTGCACCTGACAGTTTTTTTCTCAAAGGCATTTGTTAACTATAAAATCCTACAACAAACTACAATCTGTGTCCAGATGAAGTCAGGTTTAGTTGGTTCCACTTTTATTAATTGTGGGATGACACAGGGCTCTAGTCTCGGTCCATTATTAATTACACTATTCATAAATAACAATTCTTCCTACTCAGTGCTTCAAAGTGATTTTTTTGCTCATAATTCTGTGTTTTATCTCTGACTTTAATCTACCTTCCAAGTGTCCCTTCTAAGCCAGTTGATAAAAGCAGTGAAGCAACTGGTTCTCTCGACCTGAACCATCAAAACTTTACCCGAAATATACCAAAGTCCTAAAAAACTTCAGATTCATATTCAACATCTAGTTTAAAGAGTAAAAATGTCAGTAGATGTCTTTTAGGCTTAGAGCTCCCAAACCACCTCACGTCTCCTCTTATGTGTAAATCTTGTTACTATAGTAGAGCTGCAATGATTAGTTAATTAATCTACTACTCATTAAATAATTCATCATTTAACTGGCTACAGCTTCTGAAATGTGAATATCTTCTGGTTATTTCCTCCTCTGTGACAGTAAACTGAATATCTATAGACAAACCAAGACTTTTGAGGGAAAAAAAGAAAATGTAGATAAATTAACCGACAATGGAAATAATGACGTTAACCTGAGCTGTCCCTTGTGTTCACTAGTTCCACTAGTAATAGCAGAACTAGTTTAAGACACTGTGCATCATTTACTGCCTTCAAACTGGATTCTTTCTGCCCTTCAGATAGTTTAAAACTTCATTTTTTGATTTTTTTAAATGACATATTCGTTAATTTCTTGTTTTTAAGTGTCCTAATGAACATAAAAGTTTAAGTAAAAAGTCAGTTAATACTCACTGCTCCACGCAGGCTGACACAGGCTGAGGACTGTCAGCACCATCCATCCCATCATGCTGTCAGTCAGGAACATCCTACAGTATGTCACACTGTTACACAGAAAGCCACAGAAGATCAGTAGACGCTGGTGAAACACCCCCTCGCTGAGAGCAAATTTCATAAAAACCCTGCAAAAACAGTGAAACTCACCTTTATAGTTACATTTCCCTCAGCTGTCATGGAAACTGTGTGGCAGCACAGGAAGTGATGACGGTGTTTTGCCGGTAAAGAGACAAGGCGAGTTTGGGCGGCTGTGGTTCTGCAGGAACGCTGAGAAGAACGAATATCGGAGATTTTAATAAGAGCAGCGGAACAGTAAAGAACAAGCTGCTCAGTAGTCGAAAAAGTCAGAACCTGGTGGTAAAAGCTGGTTTCCATCCAATTCATTGACATAAAATGACAGTAAAAGCTGTGGATGATTATCAGAGCAGAGTTTCTCATGATTCATTGTGCATGTCGAGATCAGGGTGAAACTTGCTTGGATCAGCAGCTTTGCAGTTGCAGCATCAACGCCCTTGAAGAGATTATCAACCGTTCAAATGCAGTTTTTTACTGATCCATGCGCTGCCAGCAGCCGGCCTCCCTCCATCCAACACCTGCAGCGAAATAAGTTTCCACATCTTTCAGCAAAATTCAGCTGGAAGATTCGCAGCGTTTAAGAAGTTTCACATACTTAAAATAGCTCAATATGCTTTTAAAAAAAAAGTAAATCTACTTGGTGTTTAGGCTGATCAGTGGAAAGCAGCGCGCACGAATGGCTTGTTGATGTGGAAAACTCTGCCCTGAGAATATTAACCTGTGGTTTGTGAATTTTCCCTGCAAGAGAACAAAGCAGTTGAAGTCTGCAAAGTATAAAACCAAAATATTTCAAGAGTTTTTTTTCACCGAACGATGGTTAATTTCATATTTTTATTCACCCAAATGTGTGAAGATCCTCCTGAACGCTGATCGTCGTCGGCTCGTGTTTAGTTTCCATTTTCTCATCTTAGTTTTTAAATCTCATTTTCAGAATCAGAATCAACTTTATTGGCCAAGTTTGTACACACAAAGAAGGAATGTGACTCCAGTGAATCTTAGCTCTGTGTGCACCGTAATCAGAAGGAAAACAAGCTCTGAAAATAGGAGTTGAGCCGTTCTCTTCTTCTTCTCTTCTCTGAGTATAGTTATATATATTCTGCTTTTAATTGCAACTGCTGTACTGTTGCAGGAACAAACAGGTTTTAATTCAAGACCTTTTTTTTTTTTATTTTATTTATTTTTTAACCCAGACAGGTGCTTCTTACTGTTATTTGATGCTCCAAGTGCAGATCTACGCCAACACGACTCCCTCTTTGTCTTTTTAATGACCTGACACGATGTAAACAAAGAGCAGAATCCAGCTGCCACCCGAAACCAGACTGAGAGAAGCTGTCTGGGAACAGACGCTGTGAGTGGGACGTACAGTAGAAACTTGTTAAAATGTCATCAGTGTTTTTCTTTATGAAAACTGTGTGAACACCATCCTGACTGAGGGTCCCTTTAGCTCCACACAACTTCACCAAACTGTACAAACCAACAGATACAACGACTGGAGCAACTAAAGGATGTGAAGACTTTAAATACAGTAAAGGGTCAGTTTGATAGTTAAACATTCACACATTGTGTCGGACTGAATTCAAGAGAATCTCCTGTGTTTTCACAAACTTTTTAACTTCTATAAAGAGAAAAGTTCTGCACCAGCAGCCTTCCAGGATGAATCCATTTTAGGTTTCTAATTAATCAACAAAGAGTCGAGTGTGAACTTTGCAAACAAAATTAACAGTGTGGGACACAAAATGACCAAAAACAAAAACAAAACTATCCAGATGTGACTCGAAATGACCAATTTGGGACAAAATGACACATAACAGGTTCGTAAAATGACACAAAGAGACACTGAATTAACAATATGGGACTGAATACAACCTAAAAGGATGCAAAAGGGTATAAAAGGATGAAAAACAATCAATGTGTGACACAGAGCAACCGAATTGCGACAAAAACAACCGCGAAGAGTCGCACAATGACCACAAAGAGACGTGAAATTACCAATATGGAACAAAACAAATAACTACAAAGTTACAAAATGATTAAAATAGGACATGAATGGTTCCACATGTGACTTAAAACGAGTAAAGACAAGTAGAGACACAAACCAGACTTCAGCTTATTTAACTTTTACTGATCATTTACTGGGAGTTGACTCCAAACTAACCGACGTCAGAGAAGCCGTCGGCGTTTCTGCATTTTGTTCTAAAAGTGAAGTTTAAACTTTACAGTTTGTGTCTCAGCTCAGCAGCCAACATCTGGATCATCTGGAAACAGCAGCTGACTGCAGTTCTTGTGCTGATCACCAGTTATTACAACCGTTTTTTGCCTCTTTCTTTGTGGTTCTTGGTGGAACCAAACTGCGTTTTCTTGTTCAGGTTGTGATAAAGACTGTTTTGTTGATTCTGAGCTGTTCCGTGACGTCTGTCTGCTGTTCGTTAAAGATGTCTGACTCCTCGTCATGTCTCATCGTGTTAACTTTATATTTTCAGGTAATGCACAAAATAACTTTTCAGACGTGTAGTATGAATTTTAAAAGTATATTCAAACATAACTTCTCGTATGTATCGAATTACTATTAATTGAATTTCCCTTCCTTCTTAAATTTCCCTTCTGGGATAAATAAAGTATTTTTCATTTCATTTCATTTCATTATCAGAATTATCATTATTGTGTCTTTTAGAAGACGATGTAATTATATAAAGGCCTGTAGTGTCGACTCTGTAAAGAACACAACGAGTGGTCTATGAATGATCTCCAGAGCTGCTGTTCTACTTTTCAGGAATCCTATGAATGTGTGCAGCTGCTCTGAAAATAACCGTTACAGTGATTTAACATGCTGCTAAAACCAGACTTTCATGTTAGTTTAGAATTCATTTAGTTTAATAAGGCTGCAGGTGGAGACACTCAGTGAACCGCTGAACACTGAGTTCGTCTACAGATGTTTTCTCCTGCAGCCAGTTAGACAATTAAAACCAAAAAAAGGCATCTAATGGAGGCCTGTCAACGGTGAAAACTGAAAACAAGAACTAAACAAAATCTATGAACAAAGACAAACTAAAGAAAAAGTAAAATTCCTTCAACAACAAAAAAGGACTTTAAAAATATATTTTGTCCTCCAAATATCCAAATATGGAGTCCCATTTTCTTCTGCATCAGGTGTTTCAAATAGTTTCTAAAAGGAGAATTAGTCAAAGTGAGAGGCTTTATGTCTTCAGGCTGTTACTGCAGGAAAAACTTTCTGTCAGACACAGAGTCTGACAACACTTCCTTTGATTCCAAAGGCCAAAATGAACTGCTGAGAAACACGATGAGCCTCTGTGATTTGAAAACTTCCAGCAAAAAGGACATTTTTATTTTCTGCTGTCTGTAAATCACAGCCTCCAAACAATGAGTGACGCTGACGTTGTTTAACTTGATGAAACAGAAACGACGCATCAGGTTTAAAGATGACACCACTTGACAGCGTCTTCATTGCAGCTGTACAGTTTGGCAGAAGAACACAAGCAGAGGTTTCCAGCTGACGTTGTGTAGCTGCATCCCAGGTCTGCTTCTACACTACATCCCTACATCCCTACATATACATTTTATTTTGCATTAAATCCTCATGTTAAATGTGTTGCAACATTTTTTATATAAAACCTTTTGTTCTTTGTTTAATTGTCCTGTAAAGCCTTAAAGCAGCTTTAACAAATGAATCCAGTCTTTCTCTAACGAGCCCGATGCAGTCGAAGCTGATGTTCAGCGTCACATCTCGTGGTTGTTCTCTGGAATATGACAATCATTTTGGTAGTTTCATCTCGCATGTATTCCTTTGAAACCCGCTGCAGCTAATGTGCAGCGATTCGGTGCAAACAGCGGAAAATAGTTAATTCTGTCAGAGTGTTTTCAGATCGATGGCAGTGGAAGTGCTGAAGTCGCGACATTCGGTGTCCTCCTGACGTCACCGCTCAGTTCTGCCCGGAAACGCTCTGTGGGGGTTAAACCCCGTTTTGCAGAGCTGACTGAAGTTACAGGCAGTCACAGCTGCAGGCTGCAGGCTCACGGAAAACACTGCCTCATTTCTGCTGCAGTCATTGTTTCACAGCGGTTTACTATGAAGTGCAGCCATGTAATCAGAATCCATCAGAGTGTGCATGTGTGAAAAAGCTGATTTCAGCATTTAGCGTCCAGAGCAGCCATCAAACCCAGAATCTGAACTCTTCTGAGGTAACGCCGAGATAATGTGGTTCAGTCTGCACCTGTAGAGCTGATAACCAGGTTCTGTTCTGACATCAGTGAAGAGTTTCTGTGCAGTCGAGAAGCAGTTTTACATTTTTAATTCTCCCACAAACCATAGAGTTATGATGACTGGATCCAGATCCTGCACATTTCCTGCTTTCTTGTTTTGTTTCAGAGAATCTTCACCCGCTTTGCTGTTCAAAAACACAGAATTATTCTGAGACTGTACATTCCTGCAACACTGTCTGAATCGCTCCTGTCGCTAACATACAAATATATATAAAATAGGAATATTTACACAAGAGATGGATGCAGCCTCCCGTCTGATAATAAAAGCCGTAAACCTGCATTCTCTCCAACAACCAGCAGGGGGCGAGACCACAATCAGCCGACTTCTCACTGGATCTGTTGCCTCAGTAAATGTTTTCCTCATGAGTTTTTGGTCTCAGTCTCTTGTTTCAAGTCTCCTTTAATATGACACTTAATTATTTTAGTAATTAATGTTCCCACTTTTAAGGAAAATAATGAAAATTCCAAAACGATCACCCACGTGGTTACATCCATCTCTTGTGTGTAGTTTATGCAGCATAGCTCATCGTCTTGGTATTTATTTTCATTCAAGGACTGAGTTTGTTATTTCACATAAAACTTCTGCTCATTTCAACAATAAAAGCAGTTCAAAGCTGCCCCTGAGCTCCAGAAAACAGAAGCGTGAATCAAATCTTCTCTCAGCTTCACGACTGAAAGTGGATCCAG